ATAGATGAAGATAGAAATGTGCAATATGGTATTTGGGAGGAGGTTACACAGACTAACCACCCAGAGCTCCAATAGATCCCTCAGGAATGGATGAACAGGAAACCCCAACCCACGCCAGAAATAATCCTCAAATACCACCACTTCATCGGTATGAGGCATGGGGAAGGGCTCACCGAGGGCCGGCCGCCATCCGGCGGTGACACGGTCAGGCAGAACGCCCGCCTCCACCAATCTATTGAGCTTTTCATCTCCCGTTCGTGACAACACCCACTCTTCGTCACGCCGAATTTCAGTGCTCGCCTTCTGGGGGCTCGTCTTCTTTGGTTTCACAGCTCCCTTCTTCGGTGCCATCTCTTAGATATGGTTAGGGTTTGGTGGCGGAAGCAGGTGTAGATGTGAATCTAGAAATGCGACGGCTGAGGAGGAAGATGAAATGGCAAAGGGGCAAAGGTATGAGTGCGGGGTGCGGCGGCGCAGTTATAAAGCACTCCCCCCACCTTTTCGCATTCGAGGGTTTTTGGGAAACCGTTCCCGTGATTTGCGCTTCTCTGAATTCTCCGCAACTGAAGGTGGGCTGTTAACTAGGCCTTCACGCAGCCCCGGCCCATATCGCTGATTTATCTCCGCAATTTGCTACGGCTCACCGAATACTTGCCGACATCTTCGCTAACCGTTACGGCTCAGTAATTATTACTGTACAACCATCAGTCCGGTGTTTTCTCCACGATTCTGTTTTCTCCAAGTTGACTGTTGTTTCTGACCCTAGCACCACGTGACCATGTTACCTACTGTCAAGCTCGGGGACTAAGTGGGCACACTTCACCTTGCGGTGAATGTGCTTTTCGAGGCTACGCCCGGGGACTGGCTGCCTGCTTGGCTGGTCTTCTATTTCTCTTCTACTTTGGACCCTGGCACCACATGACTACATCATCTACTATCAGGCTCAGAGACTAAGTGGGCACACTTCACCTCGTGGTGAATGTGTTTGTTTTATTCTGGAAGACTCCGCGCCTCTTCAAGCTGAAGAAGACTATCTCCTTTTCTCGTGGTCGGACTCTAAGTGGGCACACATGGTCCATTGTGAAGAAATTTTTTATTCTAAACTTGAGCTTCTTACACCCTTATGGCAAGCCGTACTTGGGTTATACTGCTCGGCTAAGGTTCATGCTGCTCGGCGACGGTTCACGCTGCTCGGCAACTGCTCACAACTGGTCGGCAACTCATCACGGTGGTCGGATCATAAGTTTGATTGCTTGGCTTTGTTCGCACCAGCTCGGACAAGCTCAAGACAGCGTTGCACAATGGGTACAAGGCGCTCGGGGACTAGCTATAGGGGGTATGACCCTGGATACCCATGGCAGACCACATGGGCTGCGCCCCCAGGGGTGGCCCAGCCCACAAGACGAAGCCTTGCGGGGCACGACTCTTCTCGGCACCTTCCGCAAGACACCGGGAAGATATCCTGAATATACTACGAGATCTGTTAGGATATGTATGATCCCAAGATTCCTGTAATCTGTTATTACTTTTCGATTATCTCTCAGATCTAACCGACTTGTAATCCTGCCCCCCGGTTTATATAAGGTGGGCAGGGACCCCCTCCAAACTCACGCAATATCATACGATAGCTAATACAAACCAACAGACCACAGGAGTAGGGTATTATGTCATACTGACGGCCTGAACCTGTCTAACTCGTGTGTTTCTATTGCCTTCTTGTTCTTGATCACACGCTTCTCTGTCGATCAATCTACCTTCGTGGGATACCCCTCGAAGGACTACCGACGATATTCTGTCGACAATTATCTTATTGTTGTTTAGGTTGAATTTGACACTTGTATAACTCATCAACTTGATCAAACACATGGGTCTACTAACTCATGGACAATTCATATACTACCACTAGATCGTATAATCATAGAAAAAATAGTGGTAGAACATGAACTTAAATTTTTTCATTTGTCATGCATGTCCTTAACTCAAATTATGTAAATTTTTCATTTGGCCATTGGAGTAACCCCATCGACTATAAAACGGTCACTGACACATGTCAGTAACCAGCTGTTGGCGCGCACAAAGTTCTAGTACACCTTCTTCGGTGGTTACCGGAGAAATATGGTGACCCTTGGGACTCTGTAGAAACACTCATCCATGCCTGTTCTCTCTGGTGCCTCCTTAGGTCAACCATCGGAGAATTCTGGTGGCTCCTAAGACCTTCTGTAGAAGGTTTTTGCCACCTCCATATTCCTCCGGTGTCTAGCACCGGACCTATCTAGTGCTCCTCTAGAATGTGCCAGACAGGGAACAGGGCACCCTAATAACCTCCGGTGCTCACCCTCCTAGGAGCACTAGAGTTATCCAGTGCCTCTGCACTAGAAACTCTTAGCACATCAGAGCCTAATCTTCGGTACCAACCCCGATAGGGGCACTAGAAAATGCCCACCAAGACATGTCTCAAAACCTTTTTCAAACGGCTAACTCCCAAATAGTGTCCCGCAAGACCACCAACACCTTTAGCACTAAGTTAGCATTTTGAAAACATTTTGTAAAGGTTTTCTCTTGCTTCCTTTCCATACCACTTGATCTAAATACACTCACGAGTTAGATCTCACCTAGTGGCACTAAATAACCAATTACAAACAAGAATGCTCCTCTTGATTTTACGACTATCTATCTTAAACCCGGCCAAGTACTTCTCTACTCAATCTTAGGCTGGTGAAATCAAATTCCCTACAAATATACCGTTGCCTTGCACATTTCAGTCGATCTCCATGTCGGTGATGCCCACGAGCATCCAACCTCCATCTTCATCATCTTCCATATGATGAACAATGCTCGTCAACACAACAAGTGTGGCCAGCCATGTCACCTTGACCATTGTCATAGCATGAAGCTCCTCCGTCTCCACTTCATCAAGCCACTTGATATCTTCACTTGACTTGATCTCCATGAACGATATGGTCCTTTCCATAGCTTCCACGTGGCCTTCAAGTCCTACCTTAGCCTTGTTTTCTCTTCACCATTGCTTTGGTCCATCGACGCAAAGCCCTCTGCTCACACTTCACCACCTGGATAGTCCATCGTGTCTCGAGCCTCTGGCCTGCCCTTCACACTTGCACACAGTCCTTTGTAGCCAAACCCTGCCTTGATCTTCACTATCTTACGATACGAGACTATGTCATGTCCCATATCCAATATGCCCCTTCTCTTGATCAAGTCATCTTCACTAGTTAAGCACTCGCATCACTTGCAAGCATGCCATATCCCCTATTGTAAAGACCTATTCATCTCACATAAAACCTTATTAGTCCACCTAAGATTGTAACTTAATTACCAAAACCAAACCGAGACTTTCACCACTACTCATGGAAACACCAAAAGCATCTTATTAGAGTTTCGCTAGTTAACCAGGTTAGGGAGGTGCATCCGACAGATCAACAAGGGTCTAGGGCGATCTTGCCTTTCCGTAAAAGGGCAACAAGGTTTAGCTACAAAACGAATATCGGTGGATAAGGTCTTAGTAAAGGCCTAGTTAGACGTCGAACTTAATGAAGGACATGGCCCAGATTGTCTGAGGTGGTTGGGGATGCCTAGGTGAGGTTGAGAAATATTTTCAACTCAGGAGAGTGCCAACCACGTCTCATCCTTAATTGAGGACGGTAGAAGGAGACATTGGTTGCTCAAATCAGCACTCCCTCGGCTAACTAAGTTTGACTTAAAACTTACTATCAAATTTTTTAATAAACTCTAAGGCATCAATTGAATTTGATAGAATAATAGGTTTGGGATCTTCTCAAGGTTTAGCAAGAGGTTTTTACAAAGCTAGTCTTGGGTCACTACAAAGAGCTACAAGATTGTTGTGTTGGAGTGTGTGCATATGGTGTGCTGTGTAGGTGGGAGGGTGCTTGGTACTTGAATGGAAGACATAAGGAGTGGCTACCTTACTGCGACAACCTGTTATTGGTAGAATTATAGTGGCACCAAGAGAAGACCAAAGACAAGGGCATTTATGTTTGACAATAGAGGGTATCAGGCTACAACGCATTGTGATGAAAATGGAAACTATTCTTAATCGCCTCCCTCTGAGCAAGAGCCTGGTGTGAACTAGAGGGCATTTGAAGTTTTTTCCACCCAATGGCAATTGCAGGTAAATAACCAATTAGTACGTGGGTAGATACATAATAAATAGGACAAAGAGAAGGATTCAGGTGAGAAGTCGTGATTTGGTCGCTCCGTGTGAAAAATTGAAAAATATGTTTTATCCGCTTAAAGTGAAAACACAATTGTACTAACAAAGCGATAAAAAACTGCCCAATAAATTTTAGGAGAGAATGACCACCCAGAATCTATCCCTAATCAAAACTCATACTAGCCTTTGCACTGGAAGTCCTGGCCACGAAGAAAGTGGGAATTCCATTTGTGCAAATATGCACGGGCATAAATTGGAAACAAACGATGACATCTTTTGATAGGACGTAAGCAAAAATGCACGTACCGAGTGCAAAGCTACGTAAGCAAAAAAGCCTTTTTTTTAAGACAAGCAACTAACTGCATTCTTGAGGGGATTTTTTTTTTCTTTCTTTTGCCGCTGTCGTCCGGCAACGGAAGTATCTTCTCGAGGAAGACAAGGTACTGTAGCTTTGAGTGTGAAAAATAAGGGTTCAAACAAATTTGGCGAAACCATGGACACCAAAGAGGAAGACAAACAGTCACAACCAATCACGGCGCCAAAACATGCAGCGCAGCTTCATCACCATGTGGTGGAAAACACAGGTGGTGGCCGTTGCAATTGCAGCCACCAGCCACATCCCAACTCCGGCTCCAGGTCCAGGCCGCTCCAACCCAAGCTGCCAGCAGCAGCTTGCCTTGCCCCTCCTCTCCGACTCCAACCCAATCCATCCAATGGCCCTCCTCCGCCCCCGCTGTCTCACCTCACGCGCTCCCTGCCCTCCCTGGACCTGCCCCCAGCACGACGCGATGCTCCGCACCGCGTCGGATAGATGGACGATATTGCTGGGGAGCCGGGAAGGAAAGGAGACGACTCTTCCCGTGCCGTGCTGACGCCACCACGACGCGGCCCCGGTCTCCTCTCGCCCTCCTCTCCTCCGTCTGGATCTGGTTCTATCCCCTCCCCACCCTCCGCCGCCGCCGCCGCCGCTGTCCTCGCCCTCCCGGCCTCAGCCACGAGCCAGATCGCCGGGCTCCTTGCCTCGTCTCGCCTCGCCGGCGAGATGGACGGCGGCGGGGAGACGCTGCTGGTGTGGAGGAGCAAGGGCAAGAAGAGACCGCAGCAGCCGGCGGCGCCCGCGGAGAGGGGCTCCGGCAGCGGGGACAGGTTCCGCACGCTCTGGCGCGACTACCACGACCTGCTGCAGGTGAGTGGCGCCAGTCTCGTCGATTCTTGCAGCGCCTTCGCCCTTTCCAATTTTCATGCCGCTCTACTGTTTCGAGCTGTTCTTAATGGGTTCACCGCCGGCTTGATTGCTGGATTCCTCGTGGTTCGTGCTATCCCTGTTCCGGTTACTCGTATTAGGTTTGTGATTGTACTGCCGATGTTCGGGGTGCTGGCTGTTTGATTCTTTGCTGCCGTAGGACGGGGATTCAAGAACTCCATCCAATAGCATGGTCAAGTCCAACAATTAAGTATATCTGTGATTAGACTTGGAGCTGATACAACATTTGATGCAGGCGACTGAGGCAAAGAAGAAGAGGCTGGCGAGCACAAAGAGGAGAAGCCTCGCCTTGCTTGCTGAAGTCAAGTATGACAGTCCTTCGGTTCTTGCTTTATCGCTCCATGTTACTATGCTATATGCCTATATCATCTTGTTATTCTTCATGCTGGCATTATTATTGTTTTTCAGCTTCACTAACTGTGTAGCTGCTTTCTGCTGCAAGGTTCTTGCGAAGGAAGTACCAGTCCTTTCTGAAGGGTGACTCGCAGCAGAAACATTACAAGTTGAAGAAGCAGGCTCGGTACATGCCATCCCCATTGGGAAGCAACAAGCCTACAACGCTAGCCGATCATGGTGCAGGGACCGAAGTGCCTTCTACCAGCAAAAACCCAAACCATGACTTAAATCAAGATTCTGTTCCAGTAAGTGATGGAGTTCATGAATTAACATAATCTGTACAGGAAAAGTGTTTTTATGGCAATTAAAAGGGCTTTCTTGTCTGCAGAATGACGTGGGGAATGATCGCCAGGGGCAACAGGGCCATCCAGAAGTCGAAAAGTTTGATCAGGTCAGGGTGGACGAAGATACGATGACAGCTGATGTCAAATTATCAGTTTGTAGGGATACAGGAAACTCTCTTGCAAGTGAAGGTAAGAGGGCGGTTCCATGGCAAGACCGGTTAGCGTTGAAGGCCTAGGCCCTCAGTTGATGTGACTAAGAAATAAGCTACTTCTCTGTTAGCTGGCTTTGCAACTGTATCCCTCAAATGCTCAGTAGTGCTTTGTACAGAAACAATGGGACATGATAGTTATATGCATGTTACATTGCCTGATTGACAAACTCAGATGGTTGTACCATGCTCCTAAGCAAGTTAGACAAGAGGATTGTGATTTTATGAATGGTTCTGTCCAGATTTTGGATTGACTGCTTTGAATATTCGTTTGTGCACTGAATGTATTTTCAGTCTTCCTGACAAACAAACGCTTTAGCAATGATCATGAATTCTATGAATTGCAAGTTTGGAGTATTGAATTTCTGGTTTCACAGTTTAGGGTTTAAATAGGCTCTTTAGCAATGATCACGAGGACAAATGTAATAATTGCTTTTTGTTTTTTTGTAGCAAGTTTTAGGTTTGGGTGTTGCATTTTTAAAATTGGAGTGCACCATGGTCAATTGGCATGTAGATTCGTCTCAAGGAATATTTGTTTTTTAGGCGCCGTTCGGCTGGTCATAAAACCAGCCGGAAAACATTGTTCCCGGATGAAAAACACTGTTCACTCTCTCACAAATTCCTCCAGATTCCTTCAAATTCCTCCAAACGAACAGGGCCTTAATATGTACCCTTTACCGTGAATTGCAAGTTTGGAGGGTTAAATAATATCTCACCTTGTTTCTAAATTGTGTCTTTAAAAATGATGGGTGTGGGGGGCTGTTGCATTTTAAAAGCTGGAGTATAGCAGATATTATTTAACCAGATATGCATATATTAGTTCTATAGGTCTAAAATATATATACTCCATCCTCGCATTCAAAAACTTGAGCATCGGTGGCACTACAGACTAGACATTCATGATCAAACTGTATGCTAGCATTGCAATAAAGTAGCAGTAACATAAATTATGGCAAGTAAATTATCATATCAAACAATAAGTTGTGGTACTTGGTAAATGAAAAGCCAATTGAAGTCTCTTCAAGATGAATGGATGGTGCTGGCATTTCGCTCTACAGCGTCCCCAATCAGCAGTTGTTCAGCTTTGCCAAATGGGCCTTCCCAGTGCGATGGTGAGCAAGCATCTTTTCGCTGTTGCACTGCAGATTGCAAACCTCGCAAAAACTCAACGACATCCGTTTCTCCACCTTCTCTGTGTGATTCTTCCCCTTTCGATGTTCAGCTAGTGTATTCTTGCTGTTGCAGTGCAAATCGCAAAGCTTGCAAAAGTATGTCGCCTTATGTATCTCCGTCTCCTCAGAGCTTGCACCCTTAGCTGTCTTGGAACCACTTGAGCTTGCAATTTGGCCTCCCTTCCGTAGAGCTTCTACCTTCTGTTGGTGTCCCCTGCTGCTGCAGTGATTCTCAAACTGAGATACAGAGTTAACCCGTGTTTAGTTGGGGACCCAAATTCCGAAATCGAGCTAGTTTTTGGAGTTCGGAACTAAACGGGGGGGGGTTTGAAAAGCGGCCCGCGTACGTTTTCGGCATGAGGCCCGACGGCAGCCGCAAAACCGCGTGGCACACAGCGTCGGCAGGCACGACCCCTCCATTCCCGCATTCGTCAACCCTAGCCCCGCTCTCCCCCGCACGCATCTCGCCTCGGCGGTCCCGCCGCTCGCCGCCGAAGGTAGCGCACGCGCCCGCCTAGATCCACCACCCCGGCCGGTAGATCTACGAGAGGCGTGGCCGGATCCAGTCGCTGCACGGCCGCGGCGTCCTAGATGGACGGCTTCCCTGATGACGGCTACAACGGAGGCGGCAGCGCGAACTTCGACGGCGGCTCCGGCAGCAACGACGGCACGCGGAACTTCCTGCGGGGGGCGAACCCGCTTTTGGGTTCGTCGGTGTACGAGGGCTTCACCGACCCGGCGCCACCCTTCACGGGGTCCAGCGGCGTCAACCCTCCCCGCTGGGGCCTGGATTCCCTGGACCTCAACGACGGTGGGGGATGGGCTGCCATGGACGGCTACGACGCCGACCCTCGGTCAGACCCTGCTGGTAGCCAGATGGGGCCACCTCCCGTTCGTGTTCCTCGGCGATGGAACCTCACCTACGAGCAGCCTCCCATCGCCCGCTTTGGAGGAGGCAGCGACGGCACGGGAGGCCGCGCCACATCAGAAGCTGTCGAAGGCGACCGAGTGCCACGCGGCCATCGTGGTCGCGCCTCTGCCTCATCCGTCGACGGTGGAGGAAGGGGCCGGCGTCGCCGCCGTCGCGGGGCTGTCCCACAGGTGGACGACGACATCGTCAACCCGATACATGCTACCCCCGTGGGTCACATCCCGGTAGTTTTCCTCACCCATCGTCTATCTTCCATTGCTCATGTATACTATTGTGTTCAAAGCATTTGCTGTTCTCCCCATCTTAGCCTGTTCGTCGGTGTGAAATTATTTCTTATGAAATCGTTTAGGCTAGGAACGACAGGGGGAACTGGTCAGAGCCCAATATAAGCAAGTTTTGCCAAATCTGGTGCCACCAAATTGACAGTGGCAACTGTATCCGCGGCTGCATGAACAAGTCGGGGTGGAGAGATCTGATTGCAAGGTACTATGCAGCAACAACCTTGGTTCATGACAAGGACCAGTTCAAGAGTAAGTTACGCCAGCTCAAGCATTTGTGAAATTTTATCAACGACCTCCGGAAAGGCACTGGCTTAGGCAGGCGAGACGATGGCTCCATCCTTGCTACTGATGCTTGGTGGGACTCTCGTATGGTGGTATGTAAGCAATCTTATGTTCAATCATGTACTGTTAAAATGTTACTATACAATGATTCACCTATGCCGGTTTTTCAGGGACACCCGGAGTGGAAGAAGCTCAAGGACGGGTGGCCTCCGTACTTGGACGATTTGGACCGGATGTTCGCCGGCAACGCTGTTGATGGCTCAACGTCGTTCTGTCCTTCCCAAAGCAATACAGTTGACGTTGAAAGTTCGGATGACGACTCCAATGATGAGCACGACGACCAACTTACGCCGCTTAGTGTCGGTACTAAGAGGGCAAGCAAGACCAAAGACAATCGCCTCCAAATTTTAAAGCAAGCGGTCCAAGAGCCCATTGTATTGGACCATGGATGCTCACATGAAGGAACACAATGAGATTTCAAGGCGAGGCTTGAGAGGATGACAACAATGTGGCAAGAGAGGAACCAAAAATTGAGGACAACAAAGAAGGCGCCCGGAGAGGAAGGTGGAACTAGTGCTACAATTGGCAAGACAAAGGTGGTGCAACCCAAGAGACCCAGTGAGTGGATGGCCGTGCTCAAGATCGTGCAGTGTGAGCTCCGTTATGAACTTCTTCATAAGCTTCTCGCCCCAAGGAAGGATGCTGACAATTAAGCAATACATCGGGGTCCTCCCCTAGACCTTATTTTGTTAAGCTTTCTACGTAGTTACTAAGTTATGTCATTAGAACTATGTGAGGTGTGGTGGGTGTCTTTGGTCATTGACCTAAGTATGTCATGTCGAACACTTGAACTGGTTATTTGTAGTATGATTGGATATGGCTATGATCTGTTGATGTATGTAGTGCATGAGTTTGAGTAACTGGCATGAGTCAGTTTGAATAGGGATGCATGCTAATGTTGCCTAGTTGATGTTGAAAACTGACGTGAATCTGTTTTTCGTTTGGACAGAGGATGTCCAAGCAATAGTGACTGGATGATGTCCTCGAGGCAAGATTGTTATGAGAATGATTTGGACGAGTTCATCGGTGGATCGGATGGAGGCGGAGGATGATGACGACAATGCTTTCTCACATGCGGTATGTACCAAAGTACGCCTACCACATTGACAAGCACTTGTCAAGGTCAGAGTATAGACAGCCAGTCATTAGTGGTTTGGAATGGGTACATAGTAAACTAGGAAATAGGAAGGCCTGTTATAACATGTTCAGAATGAGCCCTGATATGTTCCACAGTCTACATGATGTGTTGGTAGAATCATATGGGCTGAAATCTAATAGCAAATCCGCATCTATTGAAGCCCTTGGGATGTTTCTGTGGATGGTGGGGGCTCCACAATCTGTTAGGCAAGCGGAGGACAGGTTTGAGAGGTCACTGGGGACTGTGCATAGCATGTTTCATAGGGTGTTGAAGTCTGTTGTCAAGCTTGCTTCTGACATCATTAGGCCTAATGACCCAAATTTCAGCACTATGCATGATAGGCTAAGAAATCCTAGGTTCTATCCCTACTTCAAGGACTGCATAGGGGCGATAGATGGGACTCATGTCCCCTGTGTGGTGCCTAGTGATAAGTTTGTGCAGCACCTGTGCCGCAAGGGGATGACAACACAGAATGTCTTGGCTGTGTGTGACTTCGACATGCGGTTTACATTCGTGTTAGCTGGCTGGCCGGGTTCAGTACATGACATGAGGGTCTTCACTGATGCGACAACAACATACAGCAACGTGTTTCCACATCCACCAACAGGTATACAATTAGTTGGTTATACTTTTGTGCATGCGAGTACAAGTTCGTGATACTAACTGTTGTTTCAATGTTATAGGCAAATATTACCTTGTGGACTCGGGGTACGCTAACCAACCAGGTTATCTTGCATCGTACAAGGGAACAAAGTACCACCTACAGGAGTACAGGAGTACCGAGAGGCACCAGAACCACAAGGTAAAACTGAGATCTTCAATTATGCACATTCGTCACTTAGGAATGTCATAGAAAGGTCATTTGGAGTGTTGAAAATGAAGTGGCGGATGATGAAAGAAGTCCCTAGTTATGCCCCCCATATACAAAGTCAAATCATTGTTGCATGTTGTGCCCTGCATAACTTCATAAGGGTGAGTGGCATAGAGGATCGGCACTTTGCTCGGTGTGACCGGGATGACAACTATGTGCCGGCAGAAGCCGGTGCCGATCAGCCCGAAACTATTCCTCCAAGCGGTTGTTCTGATTCGGAGCTTATGAATGCATTTCGGGAATCCATCGCAATCGGTTTGGCTAATCGAACATGATTTGGTCGTCTTTTTTAGGCGACTGTGTAACTGTTAATTTATTTGGCTGTAATTGTATTTTTTTTGTCCGACAAACAATGTAATTATTTGACTGTGTAACTATGTGCCGGCATTAGCCTGTGCCATTTCATTTGTTTACCAATAATTGTTGGTTTCTGTTCATTGCTGTGCTGTTGATGAGGCTCCATGACCCAGCACAGCAATGACATGCATTTGTTGACAATGGCTGGGTGGATGTAAAACCTTGCTTACTTGCATTCAAGTTCATGCATGCATGCCATTAATAAGCTGTATGCAGTTCATTAAATGGTGTACAGTAGGTTTTCAGATTTTGGGAACTAAACACCCCCTGAAAAGTTCTATTGCTCATATTTTGGGCTACTTCATAGCAACAGTACATTTTGGGATATTTTGCCAACTAAACAAGGGCTTACATTTGGCATGACAGATACCGCAACCCCATTCTGTCAGATATTGCTTGCCTTCTACCTGAACAACCAGAAAATTCAGCTGGTGTCTCTTGCCTCTTAGGTGGTTCGCCAAGTCTGACTGACGACTACACTTGGCTTGGCAGAGGCTGCAATTCCATGTTGAAGCAGGGTTGTTGTCTTCATCCTGTGTCACAATGTTTGGTTGTGAATTCAGCGACCCACAATTCACTGCCATGTTCTTGCATTCTTCCAGCAGGGATTGGATCTTTGCTTTGTGTCTTTTGCCTCTCAGGTGGTTCTCCAGGTTTGATTTGCAGGTGCAATTGGATTGGCAGAACCTACAGACCCAAGTTAGACGTGGCTTTTCATCATATTGCCGCATATTTTCGGACTTCGCAGCAGCTGCCTTTGCTTTCTGACTGTTGGCATTGTTTCTTGATACAAAGGCTGCTACTTTAGACCGGTGCTTCTGCCCTGCAAAATGTTGTTGTAAGTGGCCTTCGGTGGGTGCTCCCACCCGGCAGATGTCACAGCTCCATTTCACTGAAGAAGGCGTCGTCTTCTTGGCCAACGTAGTCTGTTAATTTTACAATCGGTTTGGTTAGATATTCAGAGCATTGCTTGTGCTATATACTATGTATTTTTGAATTAGCGAACGCATGACAATTGCAGTCGGTCACCAAAATGAATTGTTATAAATTGTTAACAGTGGCATAGCAAATAAACTTCATAAGTACGGTCCGTGTTCTACTGTACAATTTCACCATTGCTATTTTGGCAGACAAAAGCCACAACTGCATTTCGTTTATTCGCATTGAGCCTTTTCTTGTGCTTGTTCCCAGAAAGATGGTGAGCAAGCATCTTTTGGTTGTTGCACTGCAAATTGCAGACAGCGCAAAAACCCAGCAACTTCTGTTTCTCCATGTGTTCCTCCCCTTCACGATGCCCTGCAAGCATACTCTCGCTGCTGCACTGCAAATTGCAAATCCCGCACGACCATAATGCTGTCTGTTCCTCCACCTTCTCTGAACTTGAACTATTGCTATCAGAACCATTTGAAGCTACTTTGTCCTCTGTCGTCAGATTGCTTGATTTCGCATTCACACCATCTCCTTGTAGAGCATCCATATTCTTTTGGTGTTTCTTGCCTCTGCAGTGATGAACAAGTTGAGATGCAGAGTAACATTTTGCCTGACAGATAACACAATCCCATTCAGAGGGCGGTTGCTGGTTCTTGGCAATTTCTGGTGGAAAATCTCCTGTTTTCTTGGCTTCTTCATGTAGGTCCTGGACATTCAGTTGGTGTATCTTGCTTCCAATTTGGTGCTCCAAGTCTAATTGGCAATCAGAATCAGCTTGAAATATGCTACAATTTGATCCTGAAGTCTGCTCTGCATTTTGCGGCGCAATGTTCGGAAGCACTGTGGCTTCTCGCGATTCAGAATTCCTTGACATGTTACGGAATTCGTCCAGTAGAGCTTGAAGCTTAGTTAAAAGGTGCCCACCTAACTCCAATTCACGAGCACAGTTTGCTAGGCAAATGGCAGAACTACACATTGAAGGTGGCTTCTCTGAATGCTGAGGTGCATTGCTCTTGTGGCACTCTGGTTCCTGCAGCTCATTATTCTTAACCATGCTATCACCCTCCGTGAGTTGTGCTTCAATGTTTTGTTGGTGTGTTCTTCCATTCAGATGCTCCTTCAGGTCTGATTCGCTTGTACCATTGACCTGGCATGTATTGCAGCTCCATTTTATCAAGGATGTTTTCTGCCCTGTGCGGGAAGAGGATTCTTCTCTTAATTGTGCCTTCTGATTACTTGCTTCTTTTGATCGGTGCTTCCGCCCTGCACAATGTACTTGTAAGCTGTGCTCACTAGTTGCTTGCACCTGGCAGATTTCACAACTCAATTTCTGGCGTTGTTTCTTAACTGGTATTGTTATTCCTGTCAATTCCCATTTCACTGAAGGCAAAGTCGTCTTGGGCTGTATGGTCTGTTTGTTTGACATGCAGCATGCAGTTTGATTAGACCATTGATAGCTGAAATGGCGAAAACACCTGGTAAACTTGCTACTGAATTCTATGAACTTTAGTGAGACCATTACCAAATGGTTGCAAACAAACCTAAACTTTCATTAGAATCTCCACACATAAATCCTACCAAGTTGTTGATGTATCACAACTTGACATCATTCTGAAGATATAATAGCAAATATTGACGAAAAATAACTAACAGATGAGGGTAAAAATTACAAAACAGAAAGGATAAAACGCCCACCTCACTGGATTCTTGTGATTTCTGCTCTTCAAGTTTTGAATTCTCCTGACCTGCCTTACCATTACAACAAGGTCTCAACAATTCATCGACACCATCTTCCATGGCAGGCTTCTCAGACTTCAATGCTACACTCCTGTGGCTTCCCTCCTTTTGCTTGGGATCATGGATCTCATCCACATCGACATAACATTCTTGACTGACTGACCATCGCCAAGGTTTCATGGACTGCTCCCTGAAGGTGAAGGGAACTGGCTTAGTCCATTCCACATCATCAGCGGCAGTACCATGACGTGAACCGTTGCGCAGGACCATGGCATGCTCTATCTTAGCCAACTCTGCCTGGATGATCTCCTGGCGAAGACGGTCCTTCTGAAGTTGTGACAGCAGCGCTTCCCTAATCACCAGCATTGGGTCCACTGTACAAGGCACAAGCATTGTGGAATCCTTGATAGTAGCACACAATATAATATCACCAAATGAACATCATCAACGTCGTGGCAGCATAAAAAAAATAAACACGACTGACTCAGCAAATGATCAACATGTGCATCTAATTGAACTAGCAAGGTGCTACTGAACCTCTGAGGCTCTGACTATATGCTAAGGCTAGGCCTAAGAATGTTAGTCAAAGACGAACAAGTTTGTTTAAAAAAAATGAAAAAACGAACAAGCTACGTTGATGGCTTGAAGCTTAACTAAACTAGCTATTTAGGAGTATTGTCTTATCAGGTGCAGTACCATAATAACTGAATCTATACTGGTGACTATGCCAAGAGCCGCAGAGTACTAGCATAGTAACTGAATCGTGGAACTTTCCTATCCTGGTGATTATGATAAGAGCCCAAGAACCCTGCTTCCTTAATGGAAATCGGGGCTTCGCTTTCCAAAAGGAACAGGCAGCAAGGTACAGTATAATAGGTGCAGATTCTTGGAATCTTGGCATGGACCAAAAGAATCGCTTGCATCCCCACGAAAGGAAACTTAAAAAGATTCCCCCTCTGTCTTTTGCTGTCCCCTATCAATCTCAAAGAACACGAGCGCGGAGGTCGACTACAGCGGCGGTGAGAGGTGGGCCGCGATACTTACCGTGAGGCGGCGGAAGGTGGATGAAGAGGTTGCCGTCGTCTACGCCGTCGTCGCCGCGGCCTCGGCGAGCGAATTCCATCGACCGGAAGCGGCGCGAGGAAACGGTACGGTTTTGCTTTTCCGGTGAGGACAGCGGGGGAGCGCCGAGGGGAAAGTAAGCTTAGGGAAAGCAAATGGTTAGTTGACAGTGGTTGGCGATTTTTCTTTTTTGACGGCAGGTTGGCGATTTTTCTTTTCGTTTATTATAATCCTTTTCAGAATAACGAATCAGTTCCAGTTTTAAATCTATTCTATATTCCAGGATTTTTTTAACTAATAAGATATTCCAGGCTTGGCAATCTCAATATAATAGTCACTCCCACAGTCCCAGAAAAGTTATGCTTTAGAATAAAACAAATTATTCTAAAAACTTGTTTTAGCTCTTGAACACTAAGTTGGATCCATATTAGCTTGACTTTGTAGTCTATTGTTGAGCTATCCCTCCACATGAAGGATGATTTTGAGCCTAGCAAAACAGCGTGTATCTCACAAGTCACGACCCAACTGCGCAGTTGGCAGCAGAACAGCAGTAGCCGCTTGGTCCACCGTAAATAGGGGCACCTCAAAAAGGCAAATCGAACACAAGCTAAAAAGCTTAAAACCATCCGGATTCCTGAACCCAGCTAACAGCTTCCATCCCCGTGAACATGCAAGCCAAGGCCGTACCCCAGCATCTCAATTGCGCCCCACCAGCGTCTCCCGGTGCCTCCTCCCACCGAGGCGTGACATGTGAAAATTTTTGGCTTTTGGCTACGGTAGCACTTTTGTTTATATTTGGCAAAAATTGTTTAATTATGGATTATTTAGGCTTAAAAGATTCGTCTCGCCAATTACGGATAAACTGTGCAATTAGTTATTCTTTTTACCTACATTTAATGTTCCATGCATGTGCCGCAAGATTTAATGTGACGGAGAATCTTGAAAAATTTTGGATTTTAGGTGGGATCTAAACAGGGCCTCACTGGTGCCCTTGGCCTGGCAGAGTGTACACGTCCATCCGATTCCGGTCCTGCTCCTCGATGTTTGCAGTTCTTCGACATTTGACCGGTGCCGCTTGCCAGCCAGGTGTTCCTTCAGTTGGCGCCGGCTAGCTGGGTTAACCTGGCAGACAGTGCAGCTCCATTGCCCGAGTGGCTTCTGTTTCTTGACAGGTGAACTTGGTGCGGTCAGCTTCCTCTTCACCCCAGCAGTTCTTTCACGTGTTGGCTGTTTCAGAGCAAAGTTTATTTAGACTCCACAGCACTAGTGAGTGATACTGAATCTCAGAGGGAAAAAAAGAATAAAATTGGGGAGAGTAGAGCATGCACTGGCATGGGTGTCGGGAAACCCACTCTAATTGTAAGTTAGGGCCTGTTTCGTTAAGTTAGGGCCAGCTTCCTCTTCACCCCAGCAGAAGTTCTATCTACTGATGTGCACAATTTATTTATTTGACTTCATGTGGAGAATAAGGATTTGTATGATGAGAAGATTGGCACAAAAGACACCCAACTGAGATATGTTAACCAAGTTGGTCCCGAAGACAAGTTTGAGCATTGCTTGAACTTGATTGGTATTCGTTCTTGCCCGAGTTAGCTCCATGTGGAGCTTTAGCGGCGGTGAATCGGTTACTTGTTGATTTATCCACTCAACATTGAAGCATTTGAGGATTGGGCATTTGGCATCAAGAAGCTTGATGCATCTATGTATGGGTCAATTGTCGTTGAGGTGGAGAATTGTAAGAGTAGCCGCTCCAATTGGCATCAACTGAAGGGGCATAATTGTAAGACTTTCTAAACTCAATGACTCTTTAGCAAAGGATCCAAACCAGCCTAAGGCCTCCTTTGGATTGAAGGATTGGAAAAGGATTTTGGGAGGGTTGAGTTTTCAAAGGATTTTTTCCTCTGCGGCTCTTTGGTTCACATGAAAGTAAGAAACAATTCCTTAGGATTGCATTCCTATGGCCCAGTTTTACAGGAAAATAAGCATGAGCTCGGACCTCTCGGAAACTTTCCTTGCGCGAAAACTGACCGCTCGCGCGCCTCACTCGCTCGTTTTCCCACTTGCTGCTATCACTTCGCGCTTGTATTTTTAGTTAAGGATAAGGAAGCCCAGACAACGGCTCAGGTTAGGGAGATTGAGAGAGAGGGAGCTTGATCCACCAAACCCACCAATAAATGAGAGATTTGTGGGGGATTTAGAGTCTCCTCTCATTTGTTGGCTTCCACCTCTTGTATTTGCTTCATCTCATAATGGATTTTCCTCACTGTCGCCCGTGGTTTTTCCCGGCAAGGGGTTTTCACTCAAACTTGGTTTCCCCACTTGATTTTGTATTTCCCTTGCCATATGTGTTGATTAAATCCATGTTGTTTGCTATTGTTCCATATATTAAGTGGTTGCTTGTATGAATGTGTTGGCATGGAAGGGATATGCGCGTTCTTTGATATATTGGCTTTGATGATGGTGGTGGGATTGTTGTGTAAGCGAACTAAGTGATGCAAGTATATTGTTGGACGGTTTGCACAGCTTGTGGTTTGACAGATTTATTTTTGGGGTTGTTTTACTTCATGCACACAAGGTGTTCGATGATATGCTTGTAAAAAATTAGTTTGTTAATTTTGATTATTCTGCTACCCCTCTGTTATCACAGTTTTCACCACCGGTTTAAAACCGGATGAGGATGAGCATCGCCGTCCACTTTTACTGTCAAAACGTGAAACCGACGTGATAAAGCCTTTGGACCTGATGCTTCTGAAGATTGTGTAGTAGTGACAAGGCATATACTACTGTTTTTTTTTACTAGGAATGTTTAACCGAAGCTTACATGATCACCATTGGCTCCTAATTACTTATAATCGCAAAAAGGTTTTGACGGTGAAATGAGCAAGGTTAAGGACACAATGTATTGCAGATTCACAGCAAATACGCAATCACGAACAAGTCTGTCTTACCTAAGACTTTGGGGGGGGGGAGAGAGAAAACTGAAGGTGAAAGAACGTGAGCTTACCTCATTGAACTCTGTACTCTTCTGCTCAACGTTTGCTTCGTTCTCCTCTTGTACTGAAGACGTCGTTTCTTAGGCTTTGCTACCTCCAGAGCACCAATGGCCTTGGTTCTTGCTTCCACGGCAGCTGCGTTGGACTTGGCCCTGTGCTTCTTCCCTGCACGTGCACGATGCAGCTGTAGCTCGCGCTCGCTAGCTGCGTCCACCTGGCAGACCGCGCACCTCCATCTCCGGGGTGAGGGTGACTTGGCCCTCTCGCATGACCTGGGTTTCTTGACTGTTATGGTGATTTCTGGCAGTTCCCATCCTAGCGGAGGCTGCGGCGTCTTGGGTCCTGTTGGCTGTCGTAGCCTGTTTGTGTGGGATGCAGCTAGATTAGTAGACCATCGGTAACAGAATCGATGAAGGAACAAGTAACGGTAGGAATGACACAAGTGCAGATTCTTCGATTGAATCAGTTGCTGCTGAAGTTTTGGGAGTGATTGAACTGAGGTCACCAAGAACGATCCTACTTCCTTGATGGAAATTGGGTACAGCGCTGGCACAGATTCTTCGATTTTGATAGTCGACGCAAGGAAACTCAAGAGTCGCTGCTGCCTTGGATTATGGACGAAATGAAACAAAAAATATGATTGCATACCGTGTCTGTGTGGCGTAGAGCCGCAGGATCTCGGGCTCTCGGCGAGCGAACTCCATTGCAAGTGCACGCTCCGGATTTATGGGTGGCACCGCGGCCGTCACTGCCTTGTCCTTTATACCCATCTCCTTACGCCGAAGTTCAAGCTGCTCAGGACTATCGGTCTGCTCCACAACCAGAACTCGATAACCCTGTAATGCAATTAATGTTATTACTAAAATGCAATTAATGTGTAAAATTAAATGAGGAAAATACCATAAAATAAGTTTACCTTCTCAGCTAATTTCTCCAAATTCGCAGATAAATTCTTCTCTGGGAATCCACAGTGAGGCTGTTCACCCTAAGATAACATGATTGAATACAGACAGTGAGTTTTAGATAATACGAGAAGTGGCAGATCTGGATTGCCGAGTAGTAGCAGAAGAATCAATAAGCATAAACATGAGAAGATATTCCTGCCTTTATGTACTGAAGATCAAGGTCCTTTGCCCCAACATGTGCATCCATCTCGAATAGTTCATAGAATTTGCCCATCTATTCAAATTCATATTATATTATTATAATCACTAAATGAAATAGTTGCATTTAAGTGCCCAATAACCTGCGGAAAAATATAGATGTACCTTGAAGAACAGAACCTTATCCATGTGCTGTGATTTAAATTCCCACCATTGTCTCTGTTTATCAATTGCCAAGACTTAGCATTACTACAGGTCGTGCCACAGAAAATGAGGTTTATTACATGAACTTATACCTGCCCTCCTGTCAAACTCTTCAAGAACTGGGGTGGCAATAAAAGCGTTCTTGGATCAAAGCCCGGGCTTCCAGGACGTCTGCCTTTTGCGTCTTTGCGCCCTCTACAGTTCGAAAAAGTTATTACAGGTAAGAAATTCATAGCCCCTAAAGATTTAATCAAGCATACCAATTCTTTGCTTTCATTAGAGAATGAGAAGAAACACGTTTCTCTAGACCAAAGAGAAATAGGACAAGGCAATAAAGTTTCTACTCAATGCATGTGAAAAATGTATGATCGAGAAACACATTATAGCATACTAAGGTTAAAAAAAACATTATAGCATACTAAATTTAGCATTGCAAAGAAACGAATCATCTAGCAACAAAAACACTCACTCTCCAAGGAATTTGAACTTCTCAGCATCCCGCTGTCCAATGCGCTCAGCTGCATCCCCAGTAAGAGCAGTGTAGTCATTGCCGTCGTTTGCCCCTCTGTAACAAAAGCAACCAAAATCACAATGAGGGACAGACAAACTCAAGCCCATCAACAGTTGAGATTCCACTACTTACTCTGGCCACAGCTCATTGGCACTTCTGGCTCAACTTTTCTAGTGGTATTAACTGCTTCGAAGGTGAACCTTTTAGCAAAATCCAATGAGGCCTCATCCACATTTTTCTTCTTCTTCGAAATTTTTGACCCCGACTCTGATGTCAAACCAGAGCCCAATGTCGATGGCGTTGAACCTGACATCAGCAAGGAATTCTTTGGGTTTCCCTTTCGTGATCGCACTGCAACAACTTCCTCCTCGTCTTCCTCATCCAGCTCCACCTCCTCAGAATCATCCTCCACAACAGTATCCCTCTTCCAGTCCTCGTCCTCAGTGGAATCCCCTGCGCTATCCTCTGCCACAGCCGGTGATTTTGCCACCGAGGTATCAGACATCCGCCGGAGACGCCGCAGCTTCCTTGCCGGCGGCGGGGCCGAGTCCTCAACGGCGGCGGCCGACTCGAACTTCTCCTTCCCGAGATCGACCTCCTCTTCGTCGCCGTCGGCGTACTTCACGCGGTGCCTGCGGGAGGCCGCGTCGTAGGCCCACCCTCCCCTTGTACCACGCGTCGTCCAGCGGCCAGTACACCCGCAGCCGCCGTGCGGGGCGACGGCATCACGCTCCTCCTTATCCTTCTTCCCCTTCTTCTGTTTCTGCTGCGGCTGCGGCAGCTTGGGAGGGGAAGGGGATACCGCGGCAAGCGGGGACCTCGTCCTCGCACTGCGGTTCAGCGGCGACGGAGAGGGCTTGGACGCGCCGGGGCTCGGGCCCGAGGGGGACGGGGAGGGGGTGGGGGAGGAGGAGAAAATGGCGGTGATCTGGCTCTGTTTCCGCACGAGCGACGAGCGGGCATTGCTGGCTCGGCGCGACGCCATTGCGGAGGGGAGCGAAGGAATGGTCAATGGCTGCTCTCCTCTCCGCGTCCGCGGGTGTCCGTTTAGGGGTTTCTCCTTTTGCGGGGAATTGCTGGCGGGAGGGGATTAGTAGGGGAATGAGATCCTCTAACTTCGACCTCAGTGACGGCAGACTGCAGCCGGAGACAGCCCTCCTCGCCTCACCTCTCGTCGGCGCCGAGCTTACGAGTGGAAGCAGAGACGGAGACGGGAGGATTTGAGCTTCGAGTGTGAGTAATAGGCACTAGGCACTAGGCACTAGGCACTAGGCAGGGCTCTAGTAGGTGCATGCAGATGGCAAGCCCGCAAGGGGATCTAGAGCCGGTGCGACTCGCCGTGGACGTGACACTGATGTCCGGGCCCCACCCAGTGCTGTAATCTTCTCAGCTGGGCTCTCTCCCCTCTGTTTCTTTTTCTTTTTTGTGTGACCACTCAACCACGGCCACGGGGAGGCCTACGGAGGGGAGACTGAGATTGACGGCTGTGATGGTCCTCCGGCTGGGGCGGGTATGAAAACGGTCATAAAACCCCTCGACCTTTTACATTTGAATAAAAAAAAACAAAACCAAAACGGTAAAAACGAACACGAAAACAGGATATTTCGAATTAAAAGTAGAAAAACAGAAACGGTTAGAAAACATCTAAACCATTTTCGTCGCTCCGATTTCGAATTTGGTTTTCTGTATTTTGAACCGAATTCGAATTTGTTCGAAAATATGAATTTATTGGGTTAAGGGGGTGTATGAGACTGCTCCGCTCCATGTTTCCCAGCTCCGCTCCACGTTTTTTAGCTAAATGGTTTCGGCTCTACGCACTCTATTCGAGAAAATATGGTGAAGTTGTGAGAGCACCTAAAAAGATACTCCATAAACTCTAGTTTTTTTTGAGCTACTTTACGGTGGTGGAGGCCGTGGAGGTCTCCGATACCCTAAACATTTGGGTACAGTTTTCATCGCTAGGTGTCACGCTCGCCGCTGGGAGATGCACGCGCGGCGGTTGCTAGAGGTGTTGGGTGGCCGGCGTGTTGTGGTGTAGGGCCCATAGTGCTGCGAGAACTGGGAGTGGGGCCACGAGTCCCTTCCTTGCTCGCCGCCCGTGTCATCTCCTGGTGGTCGTCTTCGCACACTGGGAGCATGGAGGCTGCCCTGCTTGGACCGAGAGCATGGAGTCTTTCCCGTATCATCTGAATTGTGATGTTGGGAATACAGAAACTGTAATATTATGAATTGTGCTACCAATTGTGCAGGAAAATGGAATACAGAGAATTGTATTATGAATTGTGCTAGCAATTGTGCAAACAATTCAGTTATTACAATTTCATATATTTACTCATAGCCTCACTTCACAATCCCATCTTGTCTCATCTCTGAAACTAAACAAGGACAAGTTGTCTTTTATCTGAACTGAAGAAGCACCAACGGGTGCAGACCGTACAACCGGTTCCTGCTTCATTCCTTGCCTTAGTGTTCTTGTTCTTGATATTAATCTAGAAGCACCACATGCACAAGAGCAAGAATCCTTTAATGCACCTGTAGAGCAGTGAGCCTATGCCATCGTGGAGCACACCCTGCCTCGGCGACGGCGGCTTGCCGGAACAGCTTCGTGATTTGCGGACGACAGTGCCTAAACGACGAACAAGTGCAACACGCTGCGCTTGGAGGCGAAGTTAGCTAGCCGTAACATCCAATGGCGCAGAGCATGGCGGCGAGCAAGGCATGGTGGAGGACGGTGATGGTGAGCGAGGGGCGGCAACAGACGGCGGCGCCCAGGTTTCCATCTAAGCATTTTTCTCGTACAAAGCTCTTCGCACATATTTTAAAGTTACGCAAGAGTGTTATATGGGGCGATCCATGTTAAAAGCTAGTGCCCTAAACGCTAACATTTTCTTATATTTATATATATATTTATTAGTTAAAATTAAAAATATTTGACTTCTGGAATGTGAGAATAATATTCTTTATAGGACAGAAGGAGTGGTTCATAAGTATTAAAGTATTCTTTTACAACCTATCTAAGATATCGTAGGAGCAGTTCATGGCAAGACAATAGCAAAAGTCATACATATCACTATCCCCTCTCTCTTATCTTCCCCCATTTTAGTACGTGGAGTCCCAATACATTTCCTGGCGTGGACAAAATATTGTGAGATTTGCTATAACTATTGCTAACTGTTGTGGGGTCTTCGGCCTGTTTGGTAGAGCTCCATTTGATTATGATTCTCTATGGAAGCTGATTCTCTGAGAGAATTGATTTTGTGGCTGAAAGTGATTATCTTCGATTCTTTAACATAAACTCTCAAAATTACGATAGAGAATCACTTCACAGAATCAGGAGAAGTTATTTTTTTCAGCTCTCAGTCTCTTAGTTCATTTCAGAGAATCACTTCACAGAATCAACAGAGAATCACTTCTCTCTGAAAAACTATTTGGCAAAGCTCCTGTTGGATTCAGCACAGAATCAGCTCTGGGAGCTCTGCCAAACAGGGCCTATATGGTCTGAGTGGTCTAAATACATTGTGGTTGCCCTAAGAGCATTCCTATCAGATTGAGAAAAATAACGCCCTTTTCATGGAACCTATCATATCAGAGATAGTGGGGTAAAAAAACAATGTACATTTTTTTTATACTTTGTAATTCAGTTTTATCAATCTCTATACTGTGCATTTCATACAGGAGATAGAGGGGTAAAAAACAATCTGCTGCTTAACATTTTCTTTTATACTTTGTAATTCAGTTTTATCAATCTCTATACTGTGCAATCTGGTCCAGTTGCCCTAAGTCAACCTTTCAGAGTGATTGCACTGAACTTCGCCAAGAACGATCATGCTTCCTAGATGGGAGTTGGGTACAGCTTTGCCACGGATTCTTCGTTTTTTATTGTGGCCGGAAGGAAACTCGAGTCGCTGCTGGCTTGTTGGATTATACGAGTTATATGGAGAAAATGAAACTAAAAAACATACTCTGGGCTTCCAAAGAAAGCAGGCCAGTATCGATCAAAGGCTAGGACCAATTGCATACCGTATCCATATCCTATCGTTGTGGAAGATGTCTAGCACGATATTAAAATAAAAACATCGCCCATCAGTAACACCAATCAAATGCTACATGGAAACATACGTATTTCAAAGTCTGTTTTCTCTTGGGCCCAAGATAAAAGTTGCATTAAAGTCTGTCTTCTCTTGGGCCTAAGATAAAAGTTGCATTAATAAAACCTACCACCGTGAGAACTGAGAAGTCACCGAACTGCGTTTGGCAGCAGACCAAGCAATAGCAGCTTCGTCCACCGTACATAGTGCCCCTCAAAAAATGGCAGATCGAACAGAACCTAACAAGCAGCTAAAACCCATCCGGAACCCCGCTAACAGCCTCCCTCCCGTGCCCCACCCAGCATCTCAATCGCTCTCGCTCCCTTCCAGCGTCTCCCGGTGCCTCCTCCCGCCGAGGTGTGACGCCAGCATCTTCTCACTGTTGCATTGCACGTCGCACGCCGAGCAGTAGAGCCTCGCGCGCCTGGCCTCTTCGTTCTCCCGGTGCCGCCTGCCCCCGAGATGGCTGTGGTAGTCCGATTCACTGGTGCACTTGGCCTGGCAGAGTGTGCACGTCCATCTGTTCTCCGGCACCTCCTCCTTGCCGTCCAGGCGAGCGTTCGTCGTGATGTTCCTGCTCCCAGCAGGCGTTGCTTGCATGCTAGGCTCAGGGTTGCTGCTCCTCGATGTTTGCAGTGCGGCGACATTTGACCGGTGCCACTTGCCAGCCAGATGTTCCTCAAGTTGGTGCTGGCTAACTGCGTTAATGTGGCAGACAGTGCAGCTCCATTGCCCAAGTGGCTTCTGTTTCTTGACAGGTGAACTTGGGGCGGTCAACTTCCTCTTCACCCCAGCAGAAGTTCCTTCAGGTATTGGCTGTTTGTAAGAGGAAAGTTTGTTTAGACTCCACAGCACAAGTGGGTAATACTGCATCTCAAAGCAAACAAACAAAAACATAATAAATTGGGAAGAATAGTGTATGAAGTTATGCACTGGCATGGATTTCGCGAAACTCACTCATTTGTAAGTTGATTGAATATGCCTGTGTTTGGTTCATGCATTGGGGGTGCATCTGATCTAAGCTTACTTTCAATTGTTCAAGTTAGTTCAATATATGGATCGTCATGTTTGGTTGCTTGTATAGGACTTGTGCAGTTTAAAAAGGACCCGCCTGCATTGCCTAGCAATTGGAAATTGTGCGTTCACTTCGGCTTCTTATCATGACATCCATGTGAGGCAGAGGCGACCAACACAGTATACATGGCCCTCCCAGTTTGCTGTTAATGGTCCGTGCATGTGGAGGCTGCCAGTGCCCGCTCCCCGTCCGTTGACTTGCCGGCTTGCCACCCACTAGGAGAATGTCGACCCTTCCGCTCCCCACACCATACTACACCCTGACAAGCCATCCACTTCCTGTCCATGCCGCCGTGCGGGGATGGTGTCCCCGGGCGACAACCTCGGTGTGCACCAGCTCGCCAAGGTGCTCGCGTCGCTGGGTAAAAGAAAGGGGGAATTTCTTGTGTGTCATTAAAAAAGATCGCAATGCCCTGTATGCTCCTGGAAAAGTTCAGCGGTCTTCAGCGCCACTGCTTCAACTTTTTTATGCCCTCCATGTCACTGCCGTCAGTTTGGGCTCTAACGCCGTCAAACTGCAGTTGTGAAAAGTCGAAAATACCCTTAAGTCTAAATATGTCATTAATTTTTTTTAGCATCTTAACGACTTCAAATGAAAAAACTCAAAACTAGAAAGTTGCAGATCTCGTCGAGATCTATAATTTTCATATAAAAATTATTTTCATTTAATTCCGCAAAAAAAAGATATGATTTTTCTAAGATATATTAATCATATCAAATAATATTTTTTTTGCGGAATTAAATGAAGATAATTTTTATATGAAAATTATAGATCTCGACGAGATCTACAACTTTCTAGTTTTGAGTTTTTTTCATTTGAATTCGTTAAGATGCTCAAAAAAATTAATGATATATTTAAACTTAAGGGTATTTTCGACTTTTCACACCTGCAGTTTAACGGCGTTAGAGCCCAAACTGACGGCAGTGGCATGGAGGACACAAAAAAGTTAAAGCAGTGGCGCTGAAGACCGCTGAACGTTTTTGCGATCTTTTTTAATGGCACACAAGGAATTCCCCCTAAAAGAAAGGAGCAGGGAGATAGAGGAATCCTGGCTTGCCTGATTTGCCTAGGTACATTGTACTCCTAGTTTAGAAGAGGAGAAAAGTCGGGAAGAAGAAGATGGCAGTTGTGTTTGCTTGCTCCTCCATGGCTTGCTGCAGGTGCTGGGATTTGGGCTAGTGTCAATCTGCAGCTTGCTGATTTGGGAGATGGTGGAAGAGAGGATGGACAAAGGAGGAGTGGTGGTGGTGCTCAGTTTGGAGAAGTTGCTGGTGGTGGTCAATCTGCAGGTGTAGTGGTTCTGCTGAGATCGGTGTAGAAGGAAAAGCTGCTGCCTTGCAATGTCGGAGAAGAACAAGAGGTGATAGATTTTCATATCACCCAAAGAAGGTGACCACATGTACTGTAGTCGGGCAACCAAATACAACTTGCCTATGCAGATCAACCAAATACCAGCTCATAGCATACATTTATGATGTGGCTTGAGCTATGCTACATAAGGCGCAATGTAGACTTATACTAGAGGCCTAGAGCAAGCAACCAATCACACCCTATAGGACCCCTATCAATGTTTAGGGAAAGATGTGACCAGGAGATGAAAATTTGAAAACAACCTACCTTACCTTTTTGGCTCTTTCAAGTCTACAAGGACTAAGGGATCTCAAAAGGCTTACTTTATTTTGTTCCATTTACATAAGGCATATGCTACCAACTCTTTTGGACTAGGAATGTTTTACTGAATCTTTACATGATTACCAATGGCTCCTAAGTACTTATGATCACAACAAGTATTTGATGGCGAAACGAGCAATGTTCAGGACATAAATAATGTATTGCAAGTTCGCAAGGAAAATGACATCGCGGACAAATTAGTCTTAGCAAACCTTTTTTGTGTGTGTGTCCGAAAGGGGGGGGGCAAAAAACTGAGGGTGAGAAACGTGAGCCTACCTCGTTGAACTCTGTACTCTTCTGCTCATTGTTTGCTGCATTCTCCTGATCTGCCGGCTTGTACTGAAGACGCTGATGCATGGGTTTCTTTATGCAATCCTCAATGGCAGAGTCTATGGCCTTCTGACCCTCACTGCTCTGGTTCTTCATCTCATGCAATGCCTGCATGTTATGAACATCCTCCACACCAATCTTTTCCCAAACAACGGCCTGTTGGTGTCCTGATGATGGCCGTATCTGATTAATACCGGCTTTGGCTGCCACTGGAGTCTGCTTGCTCGGTGAATGACACAGTTCGAAATAGCCGTTAAACGGATGTGTCCTCACCCCAGATGACCTGCACGCTTGATGCTGCTCGGCATCATTGCCTGGCCTTGTCTGCTCAGGTGCATGCTGTATGAAATGAAGTTTGTTTAGACTTTAGGCTTAACAGCATTGATAAATGAAAAAAAAAACTCTCCACATTGCAAGAATGTGGAGGAAACAAGCAACTAACAAAGTACTGGTGTGATTGTCCATAGCCTGTACTTATGATCAACTGTAAACTTCACATCACAGGTCAACTAACAAAGTACTGCTGTTTTCAACAATGCTAGATAGCTCAGATTGTAATTTTAAAATGCTCAGGAAAGTTGAGTACCGGTGACCGCTCCACATGTGGGTACACTGGAGGCGCCATGACCGTCGTGGAGCTTCCACAGCCACAAGGGCATGGCTGGCGGAGAGGTGCTTCCAAAGAAGGCGCCGACAGCGTCCAGCGACGCCCGTAATCCTGTGACCATGGGAGTGCTGACACAGGATTGTAGTTGTAGCCGCCGGTGGTAAGGCCCATGGCGCGCTCAGTCTCCATGAGCTCGCGCAAGATCATGTCCTGGTGCATGAATCCCTTGTGCAGCTCCAACAGCAGCTCCTGCCTCCTTGTCAGCAGCGCGGCGTCTACCCCTGATGTATTGGCATCACCTGCTCACCGGTGGCAAGAGCATTATTGTCAGATGAACAGGATTAGATGAAACGTTTACAATTTTTTCTACCATATTGCACGCATCGTCATTTTTGGTGTCACAAGAGAAAACCCAAATTCTTTTTGATGAGATCATCAGATATCTCTACGATCACCATCAATCTGAAGTTCTGAACATCAACATCAAGCGATATCGTAAAGAAATTCAAAGAAACGATTGAACTGATGCAAATATATTGGGGCAATCTACAAATCAAGAAACACATAAAAGAAAAGTCGTTTTTTTTTGTTTCGCTGCCTAAGGTGCCGTTTGGTTACCATAGGATTTTAAGAATCCGGATAAAAAAAAATCTCAGAATCCTAAAATCCCATCCAAAATTTTTACATACATACACGTAATCCAATAAAACACATCAGATTTTTTTATCCTGATTCTAAAAATCCAATGGGATCCAAACGGGGCCTTAGGCTTACTAAAATCAAGATTTATATTATCAAAAAAATCAAGATTTATCAAAGTTAGGGCAAAAATGTAGACATGTATATTTGGTTGAGTGTCATGACATAGCAGCAATCCCTTTTCAATCGAAGAAGTTTCCAGTGACTTTGCCGTGATTTTGGCCATAGAAATTAGTGTGCCAATTTTTGACAGTGAACCGATCAATACCCCAAAGTAATTGGTTGGGCAAGTTTTGGAACCCAACCAAGCACGCCCAAAATCCCTCTTTTCTGTGGAAAAAAAAGCATCCCGCATCCATATAAAAACATCGAAGCAATGGCGAAAGTAGAGTAGTACCGTGACCGTGCGGCTGCGACGGCGGAGGGTCGGGGAAGCGGCGGAGACGGCCGTTTTCTTCGTCGTCGGCTGCTGCTGCGGTGGGTCGGCCGCGGAAGGCGAACTCCATTGCGGTTTTGCGGGAGGGGTCGATTTGGTAACGGCGCGGAGAAGCGGGGGGAGAGGGTTTTGCGATGGAAACCGAAGAAGGGGAGGGACGAGGGAGAGACGAGAGGGAGAGAGGTTACAGAATTCGATTTATGGTGAGCGAGACGGTTTTCTTTCTCTCTGGGATGGATATTGTCAACACGGAAGTTACGGGATTACAGTGCACTAGCATTGATGTTCTTCTCGAGGAGGCGTGCTTGGGCGTGGCGGCGGCCATTCTCGAAGCCTGCGGACCCAGACCCAGAGTCCCACACGCCGCATGCGGTGAAACTCGTGGACCCACGATGTGTTGCGGGGTGTTCGGCTGTTCTGGTGTCGGATTGTTTCAGCTTGTTTCTCACGGAACACTGTTAAATCAGTCAAAATCAGCCGAGCTACCATTCCCGAGTGTACCAGCCTGATCGTCGTCCGCACCCCGCAGGTAGCAGACCCTTGTGCCTTATGGATAGTCCTCCATTTCGATCGGCTCTGAATCCAAATTTTAACAGATAAGGAGAAGTATTTTTAATATCCATGCGAATATAGATAATCCGAATTTGATTATATGCGGATGTAGTCTAAGATATGAAATTGACGAAATCCGAAAGATATGGATTATCCGATAATTAAACGCGGATTATCCAATGCTTATAATAGGATAATCCAAATATTTTAAGGAGCTCGAGCGACAAGAATACAAGTTAGTTCAGTCCATGGCATAAGCATTATTATGTTATAGCCCTCAAACAAAGCTAGTGAACTATATATACTAATTTAAGTATGTTTACACATGATATGGAATAGTAATTCTAGTGATTTCCTATTTGCCGCTTTATGACTTTGGTTACTAAATTGTTTCTCATCATAAAAAAACAACACATAAGCACATATTACCCTGTTCGCTTATGCTAAAATTTGGCTTATGCTGAAATATTGTGAGAGGAAAACACTGTTCTAGGGCTGAAAAGTTCCGCTCCGACACCGGTCCGAATCCGTACCATTTCCGACATCCTAAAAAATTCGTATTCGCATCCAAATCCGTATAATATCCGATCCGCTCCGAATCCAATCCAAACAAATTGATTAGGATATGGGGAAGCCATTATCCGCTCCGCTCCGATCCGTTTTTATCCCTAGCTCCGACCTCAGTCCGTTCGGACGCGTCCTCGCACTATCCTTAAAAAAATCGCACCTCGCACTGACTCACCTCGCGCCGCGTGTGTCCCGTGCCTCACGCCGTGTGCTCCTACACCTCCCTACATCGCGCTGTGCGCCTCTGCACCTTGCGTCTCACACGGTCGCACCAGATCCGCCTCGCGCCTCACGCCGCGCGCCGCCCGTGATGCGCTCCCCGCGCCGCATCAACTAGCCTTCATTTGACGACAGCGAGTAGATGAGCACATGTTGCAACCGTATGTTGCATGCGTTTTAGATGTATGTTGCATATGTTTTTTTAATGTTACAAAAGTAGATCTGGTGTTGCATATGTTGCAATGGTTGTAGACTTATGTTGCAAGTGTATATTTCAAATGTTTTAGCAATTTTAAATGTATGTTGAAGTGTTTTATCTGGATATTACATATGTTGCAGTACCTATATATGTATGTTGCAAATGTATGTTCTAAATGTTTCACCTGTTTTAGACCTATGTTGCAAGTGTTTCTTCTAGATGTTGCATATGTTTCAGGCATATGTTGTAAGCGTCTATTCAAAATGTTTTATCTATTTCAGATGTATGTTGCAAATATGTTTATTTGAATGTTATAGTTGCTATACACATATGTTGCAAATATCTGTTTGTAAATATTTCACCTGTTTCGGGCATATGTTGCAAAAGTGCTTCCATGCTGCAACATTAGCAAATATAGGAAACGGACGCATGTAGATGCGGTCCTTGCGTGCGGAGCTGTCCCCACCTATGTGCACATCAGCAGGCACGATGTGGGCATCAGCAGTCACGAGGCGCACAATTACATGCGTAAGGTCACAATTATACAGGGGTGGGTTTGTAGATGCAACAGTTGCATGCGAGACGTGCATGCGCAGAGTTGCATGCGGGGCAGGCTTTTCTTTTTTTGGGAAACGTGGGGTAGGTAGGACGGGCGGAGCAGGCGGGGCAAGCGCGGGTGTCCGGACGCGTCCTCGCGCGGGACATCCGAGTGCTAGTCGTTCCGAAAAACAACCGAATTTATGAAAATGTACATGTATTAATAATAGAGAAAAAATACGCTTTTTATTTTAATATTAGTGATAGAATTATATATATATATATATATATATATATATATAAGCAAAAATATCCCTAGGTCGTAATGAGCTCAATTCCGTCCCTAAATTCTTAAAATGTTCATTTAGTCATTACAATTTTATTTTAGATCATTTCGTTCTAGAACTTTGAAAGTGGTTATTTTAGTTCTTAAACTCTGTATTTTGGATTCAATTTCATTTATAGCTAGCAGAGTGCATTTTAGTCCCTTGGCTTCTATTTTTAGCTCAACTTTGTCCCTTGTGCTTTGTGGAACCTCATGATATCGCGCATGGTCAGCTCCAGCACCACCCACGATTCAACGTGGTCGGCCATTGGCATTGAGCCTGTTCGCTTGTTGGTTTCAGCCAGCCCAAACCAGCCAGCCAATAATGTTTTTCTCTCACAACAAACCAGCACCAGCCAGTCTAAACCAACCCAGAAACCAACCAACGAACAGGTCGATTATCTCCAACAATCAAATCAGATAGCACACTTCTGACATTTGCATTCATATTTTAAAGTAAATATAAATATAGATCATAATATCCTCGATGAATAATCAGATGGTTAATATCCATATCATATTGTTTAATTATAATTTGATTTTTCATTTTAATAACTAAGTATTATTTTTTTAGTTTGGAAAAATATATTAATTTTTATACACAATTGTTTATTAGTTGAGTCTAACGCTAGCTAAGGAAAAAATTGTAGATGTGTTGATGTTCTAATTTATCATTGTATTCATAGGATACTAACGTATTCGGTGGTACTACGTGTTTCTCGTGTACCAAGGCTGAAGTCTCTCTATCTCTTTTCTTTATGTGTGTACGGAGGTGCAGGCGTCTGTGCGTGTAATATGAGTGTGGAGTAAGGATGAAAATGGTCGAACTCGGTCGAAAAACTCCTCAACCGTTTTCTACTTTTACATTTGAAATACGAAAGCGAAAGCGAAAACAGACAAGCCGGAAACGAAAACGAACACGAACTTACGGAATACCTAGAATTTCGGAAACAAACCAATTCGAGCGAAATTATGTCGAACACGGTCGGTATGCGAAAATTCAATACGAAATACCGACCCACAATGCATAGCATTAAACAAGTGCACGACCAAATACATAACAAGTTCACAACTAACAAGTGCATGATCTAGTTCAAGTGCATAGCATTAACAAGTGCACGACCAAATACATAACAAGTCTAAAACAAGCAATTAACAGAACATGAACATCTACAGTTCATCAGCATCATCCATGATGTCAAGATCACTTTCCATGTCTTTTTCTTCCTCATTGTCCTCCTCAGCGTCGCCTTGTTATTGTCCAACAAGTTTACAAAATGAATTAAAATTAGATATAGCGACTAGCAACTAGCATAGCACTAATCACTTTGCAGCCTGTTCGCTTGCTCGTAAACGATCGTAAATTTTCAGTCGGGAACAGTGTTTTTCTCTCACACCAAACCAGCCAGCAGTAAATAATCCACGATACGATACGGCCTTCCGAACAGGCTGTTGGTCTCCCAAGTTCTGTGTCGCTCCCAAACACATAAACTGATAGCGTATTCAGACACCCCTGGACAAATTCATAAATTAAATCTGGATTTAAAAAAGGCGTGCAGACATTGGCACACATGCCATTGCCAGTTTATATTTAAACCGTCAGCTATTTGTATATAGAACACTTTTAGCTAGGTGCAGTACTTAGAATTGAAGATATATGGCAATATGTTACATGGCAGTATGGAACCACCAAGTAAGGACTACAGTATTAAATACTGGACATACACCAAGTAATTAGGTTTGATTTTTTGTTGGATCATGGGATTAGGGAGCAAGGACTTTTGAATATTTTTGGATTCGGCTGTTTAAGGTCCGGGTGGTTGGCCTTGACAATTTTGAATGTCAAACTTATATTAGTTCTGAATTTAGCCAAGGCTCTATGTAGTATTAGTTCCTGTCTGTCTGCTCCTGTGGATATTTCTTTATTAGTTATGATGTTCAAGTAGTGCGTAGTCAAGATTTAAAAGATTCTGGATCCTGGGCATATATTTCGAGGACTATTTTGATTTCAACTGAGCTTTAAACATGAATATGTAATTTGTATATTTACAAAGGTATCTATAGCAAGATTGTCCAACAGACTGAACATGTGTAGCCTTTTCCGAGAGTATGCTAGCAGGTGAAGCTGTAGTAGTGATTTAGTCTAAATACCATTCAAGTGAACAGCGAAGTATTACTGAACTATAGATATAGATAGCTGATGAATAATATTTTCCTTGTTGAACCAAGAATTCATGTCAGAATCAGATTGTTTGAGGTTGGGGTCCTGGAGGTATTCCTGTTCAATCCTTTTCAGTTTCAGACATCCCTTTCTAGTTTTTTCGAATTTCTTTTGGTCTATTGCTCATTCTAGTATGCCATGATTAGTCTCAAAACCACAGAGAATGAGCGGATATAGAATTTACTTTGTGAACATCTATTCTATTATTAGTCATGTGCCTTAAAATGTAGAACTAAAATTCACCTAAGCACCAAAAGGGGGCTTCAGCAGCAGGAGCAGCAATTCAGCAGCAGGAGCAGCAGCAACTAGCATATTTCATAGCAAGCAGTCAATAAACGTACCTCAATTTTCAGCTTAGCCACAACATTAGTCAAAGCATCAACCTCAAGATCACTCACAATTGATCCAACCATTTTAGAATCTGAACAAAAAATTAGAAAGGAAAAAAATCAAAGCATTATTTTCCTTCAATTACAAGTGTGTAACTGAAAAAACAGATAAGGATGAGCACCTTTATTTGCTGCAGCAACCCAATCCTTTATGCAAATTAATGCCTGTACCATCTCGGGATCAAGACGACTACGATAGGGATCAACAACACGACCATCAGCACTAAAAGCAGACTCGGATGCTACTGTTGATACTTGTACAACCATTACATCCCTAACAATTTGTGAAAGGATAGGATACTCTTCTCTCTTGTTTTTCCACCACGCTAAGATGTCAAACTCACCAACAATTTTCAGTAGTGGTTCCAACATATACCCCTCCAAATCATTTGACTCAACCACAGCAGGTTCACTTGCATCATATAAGAATTCTTCTAGGTCATGGTCTGTATTTCCCATTAATACATCATATGTGTTACTAGGTGCAGGTGCAGTCACTTCACTAGTTGTCTTTGATAATGCATGAGCAGAACTAATATTATAAAAGTTGTACAGTTTCTTTACCACACTAATAAACTCATCAAGTTCAGCTTATAATGAATCCCATGGAACTTCTTCATGTAGTACTCTATGAGCCTTTTCTTATACCTAGGATCAAGAAAACAGGCTACAGCTAGAGCAATGTTGGATTGCTCCCAATATTTCTCAAATTTTGCACTCATAGCAACTGCCATTTCTCTAATTGTAGCATCTTCACTAAAGCATCAGTCATCAAGCAAGACTTTTATATCACAGAAACCTCTATAGAATAAGTTTGAAGTAGTATATGAAGTGCCAGAGAGAATTTTAGTGAGATCATAAAATTTCTTCAAGCAACCATAAATTGTCAATGCATTGTCCCATTCATCAGAAGATGGAGAAATCTTGGCATACCTACGTCGATTTGAAGACTTTAGCCTAATAAATGCATCCTTATAGTACAAGGCATCTCTCAACATTAGATAGGTAGAGTTCCACCTTGTTGAAACATCCATTTGAATACCCCTCTTTGTATCCAACCCAACTTTGGTGGCACGCTTCATAAGCTCTTCCCACTACAATGGAGACCCTTTCACAGCTAGTACAAGTGATTTGACCTTGCTGAGTGTTCCTGAAATGACTTTCAACCCATCTCTAGCAACCAAATTGAGAATATGACAGGCACATCTAACATGAAAAAACATCCCATCACACACTAGGGAACCATTAGCATTCTCTTTTAGATATGAAATTATATCATTGGCAGCCACTTCATTTGAACTAGAATTATCCAAAGTCAAAGCAAACAGTCTATTTTCAATCTACCATTTAACCATAACTTCAGTGAATGTCTCAGACAACTTTGCACCAATATGCCTACCTTTTACATTGAAGAAACCAATAATTCTCTTTTGCATATGCCAGCTATCATCTATCCAATGAATTGTAACACACATGTATCCTTTGTTTTGGCATGAGGTCCACATATCCATTGTTGCACTAAAGCGGCAATTCATAGTTTTCAAGTGTGCATACAGAGTTTCCTTTTCTTGGAAATAATTGTCCATTATTTCTTTCCTAACAGTGACACGAGATTTTATCGGAAAGCTAGGACGGAGTGATTTTATGAAATCAACAAGATACTCATGCTCAACTATATTGAAAGGATATTCATGCATGGTTATTGCCAAATTCAATTTCTTCAAGCTAGCTTCTTGGTCATATTTGAAAGGCTGAACATGAGCTGCTACAGAACCAGGGTTCTTACCAACTTTAAGCTGTTGTTGTCCCTTCACAGTACTGTGCTTTGACTTCAAATGGTTCTTGAATGTAGTCGTCCCACAGACGCCCTCAGCTCTATATCTCTGATCACACCTAGCGAAATTGCAGTATCCCCAAATCTCCTCAATCTGCTTTCCTTCCACCTCTACATACTCCTTTTTCTTGGTGAAATAATTCCAGACCCACGATGTGCATTTCTTGTACCTCTTGCCAGAAAGGTGAGCCTCCTCTTCATCCTCGCCATCCTCTGGGTCATCATTGTCGACATTTGGAGTTGTGGTTGTTGCTGGTGCACAAGCGGGTCCAGCGCCACTGCCAGTGCAACTGGTGTCAACATTTGGAGCACAAGAACCCATCACTGACACTGATGCTGCTACTGATGCTTCTGTAGTTGGACTTTCACAAGTTCCACTAGGGCTAATACTCTGAGATGCAGACCTTTTGCCCCTTGATCCTGCTAAGAGCCAATTGAAACATTGCTAAATCAGTGCATGTCGATCCCAAATAATCAAGCAAAATGTCCAGTACAAAGTTCAATACAAGAAGGTCGTGCAAGCAGTAGCCAAGGATTATATTTAATACAGTATTTATCTGCTCATAGAAAATTTTCAACTCAGATGTGGTAATACTGTCTAACAAAAAAAAAACAAAGCCACCGCCTGCATTTCCTACTTCAAAAATATAATATAACAAGTAGCAGCTAGAAAAAGGGGTCAACATATACTAAGTACTAACAACCTATATTTGGCAGGGAGTGACTAAAACCGGAGAGGATGTTGCTGTGAAGAAACTGAAGCTTCATTGTGACAGTCTAGACTACAAGGAGTTCCAAAATGAGCTCAATAACCTTAGGATTCTTGAGCATCAGAACATTGTACAGGTTCTTGGCTATTGTTACGAAATACAACAAAAACCTTATACCATGTCAGATGGAAGGAAAAGCTTAGACTTTAATCCCATGATGGAGATGAGCTAGTGGATCTATCCTTAGTACAGAAGGAGATGAATCAGTACCTGGCGCTGGAGAGGGAGAAGCTGTTGCTGCCGGAGCTGCCGACGGCGCAAGAAGGTGGCGCTCGCTCTTGGGCTTATTCTTGCCCTTGCTCTTCGTTCCAGGAGCAGAAACACCTCCTCCAGTGGGCAAAATCGATGGGCGGAGTGGCGGCGCTGCTGGGTCATGTGGCTGCGTGCCTAGGTGGTGTCCGGCGGCGATGGCAAGTGCAGATGAGGGGCGGCGGCGCTGGCAGGTGTAGATGAGGGGCGGTGGCGCTGGCAGGTCGGACTCAGAGGCGAGGCGAGGTGTCGCGCGTCCGTGTGCGCGGGCGGCTTTGGATTCCTTGACTGCGTCTCTGTGGGTCGCTCGGTCAAACAAGGGACAGAGAGAGAGAGATAGAGAGAGGGAGAGGGAGAGCCAGAAGGGAGAGCCGAGAGTGGTGTGCGTCATCGGCCTTGGTGCCGGCGGCGCCCTGCTCCGGTCTCCGACGCCGTCACGAATAGAGAGAGAGAGAGAGAGAGAGAGAGAGAGAGAGAGAGAGAGAGAGAGAGAGAAGCAGAGGTGAGGGAGGGAGCTCAGCTGGCGGCGGCGGTCCTGGACGGCGAGGCGCTGAGCTCCGGTCTAGCGAGGCGGAGAGAGAGAGAGAGAGGAAGCGAGAGTGAAGAGAGAGCCGGGCGCCGGCAGGGCAGTGGTGCTCGGCGTGAGGGAAATAGAGCACCGGGCGATGGTGGAGGAGAAGCAGGGGAGCGGCGGTCCGGCGGTGGGGCGAGTCGGGGCGCCGCCAGCGCCAGGGCTGGACAGGGAATAGGTAGGGGAGGAGACGGGGAGCGGGGGGAGGGAATGGGATTAGGGATTTAGGGTTGTCAACTTGTTTTGGACTGGGCCGTAGAGTACTAGAGTGGGTTGTACTGCTATACACTTGCGTGTTGGACCAAATTCGGTTCGAACCGAATTTAGAATACGGAAGACTCCAAATAAAATGTAGAAAATTAGAAATCGATCGAATAAAGCCTAAACCGAATTCGATCCGATTTCGAATTTAGTATTCCGTATTACGAATTCGAATTTAGTATTCCGTATTTTGTCCGAAAATACGAATTCGCTCGGATCAAATGTAGAAAACGATGCGGTTCGGTTCAGGATATTTCCTTTCCGTTTTCATCCTTAGTGTGGAGTGTGTGGGTTGTGTACATCCTATTGCACCCTCTCAAAAAATGCTCCCAAGAAACAATGTAGTAGGATATATATATATATATATATATATATATATATATATATATATATATATATATATATATATATATAATAAATATAAATGGTTTTGTTACAAGGTAACATCTAAATTAACACTCTAGAATTATTAATAGCTGCTAAAGAGTTTTTAGACCGTCCACTAATGATGTTTTATCTAAATATTTTATTTTTATCTCCAACATGGATGGTGTTGGAGCTGATTAGGCACGTTAATGTGTCGTTCCACTTAGAATGTATGACGAAGTTGAGTTGAAAAGAAAATTTTAAGGATTCAAATACACTTTAAAAGTTAATGGATGAAACTAAGCTCAAAATGTAAAGTTTAGGGATTGAAATGGTCACTTTGATAGTTCAATGATAAAACTGAGAAAAAAAACTTTAAAAACTAAAATTGCCATTTTGAAAGTTCAGAGACGAATTGATAGTTGAGGAACTGGAATGGCTGTTTTGCCATCAAGAACATTAGTACATTGAATATAGAGTATTCTTCTTTTGTGTAAGAAATAGTTTTCTTGGAAACCTATAATGTTGTACTTAATGAATAAAAGAAAGTGTTTTATACAAAATATCATCATTCGAATAAAATCAATTGACTTATTATAAATATTTTATAACAAAGAAACTTAATTATACAATCAGATTTTTGCTTGCATGTTTTATTTAGAAAACCATATTTTTTCAACTTCAAAACTTTGCACGCCACATTTTCTTTTCTTTTTGCTTCAGTCTACATGCTTCATATATTACATGAATGTTGTAGGATCCACACGGCCAAAAACTACGAGAGTAATATATCTCGCACGGGCTCAACTATATAGTGGTGTCGAGCGCATTTCATGTATTTTGGTAAACCCCCCCCTATTTTTTTTTTCATAGGCTCCCATACTATGCAGCCAAGCTTGATTTGTGCGTGGCTAGGGCACGCGAGAAAGTTAACTTTGTTCTGCAGAGCATATGCCCCTACACATGTAGCCGTCAGATGAAGCATCTCGTGATACCTGCCACTTTTCCATCAGCTCCAATACGAATGAATAAAACTTTCTCCCCGTTCGCTGATTGGTTTTCGGACTGATAAGCCTGACTGATGCTGGTTTGTTGTGAGAGGAAAATATTGTATAATGACTGATAAGTTCTGGCTGAAACCAACAAACGAACATGTTGTTTGAATACACTGCAACATACTGTACGCTCGTATATATAAGCAGTACCCACTCACATTTTATTATATTGGTGGCTGAGGGTGCGACGTGGGCAGCTCTTATCCTCTCCTCTCCCCATTTTTTTATGTTTTTTTTTATTCAGGCCATTATAATTCTGGTTTCATCTCTCCTTCATTCATGCCATTTTCTACACCAGCCGCGTATATAGGCCCACTGTCAGATGCATATGCATACACGGACGCGTACAGGCGTTAAGGATCCGGCTGCTCCGTTAGAACGAGCTCACCTGCGGCAGAGGAGAGCTTGCCCGCGCGGCCAGCGCGCGAGCCGGAGCGGCGGCGCTCGCCCTCGGCGGCCTACGCGCGAGCGGAACGCAAGCACTGGCTCCATAGGCTGTAGCCACCGCCATCCGCGCCAGCAAGCGCGAGCGCTGAGTGGCCACTGGTGGTGCACTGTTGCAAGTCGCCGCGGAGGCCATGCCTTAGGACACGGAGCAGCTGGGTTAGCTTGTTCGTGGATCAGCTACACTGGCTCAGCCGGTCCCATTCGCGGACGCCTCAGACACGCACGAAGGAGCCTGCCAAGGCCCCGGCTGCTGGCCTCCATGTAGATGTGGCGATGCCGACACGGTCGCAGCTATTGCCGCTGGCCCTCGCGCTCGCCGGCCCCATGCGCTCGTTACTATACCCCGCATGCTCGCCTGGGTCGCCGTGCAGGTGCACCGCGTCACGCACGTGCTCTAGGCGCAGAGCCACCGCGCGCTGGCACTCTAGTCCCACGTCTTCGCCGTCGGACATCCACTCGAACGCCACCATCAGCAAGGGGATCCTGCTCGACCACGCCACGGGCGTTGTCATTGGGGAGATAGCCGTCGTGGGCAACAACATCTCCATCCACCACGATGCTGGTGGTACACGACCGTCTCCCGCGCACGCGTCGAGATGAAGACCTCGAGGTCCGCGGCGAGCTCAGGCGCGGAGCCGTTGGGGAAGAGGCGCCGCACGACGGCCTCGTAGAGTAGCGTGGATTTATGGCAGCATGTTGAGATGGAGACGGTGAGGTGGGCGATGGAGATGGGCGTGTGGGCACTGTGCCTTGCCGTTGGCCTTCTCGCCATGGCCAGGCCAAGAAGATGCCCTCCGCCACGACCTCCTCCTCCCCAGCGACCGCGCCGCGCATCTCGAAGCGCGCCCTCGGCGGCGGCGATGCGGTCGGCGCTCGCGTATGCGTCACCTGTGACCCAGCGGAGCGTGACCTCGACTTCCATCCTGAGTGGTGGCTCGTACGTGAGTTCTGTCTGGTGGCTCAATGGCGGCGGCGAGTTCGTGCCGGCGGACGTGGCGAGGCAGGGGCGAGCGCACAGACTGTGGGGCGAGCTCCTTCGATAGGCGGCTCCTGTAGGGACGCAGTGAGCAGCATGGCCGGCGACGCACGCGAGCTATGGCAGCGGCAGCTCGCTCCCCCGCCGGCGGAGCTACGGAGCATGGCCACCGTCTACCGCTCCATGCGCCTGCTCTGCCACAGCGACCACCTCAAGGAGCGCCATATGACCAATAAGTGGGGCCATATCCTGGTCCGCGTCGCCAGGGACGAATGTAGGACGCACCTGGCGTCCGTAAGTGAGTCAGGCGGTCACGTCCGTCCATCTTGCACGCAGCCTTTGGCCTCCCACCTGCGTCCGTCTCGCACGTGGACTCTCGTGTCGTGTCGGCAGTCGTGCTACTGGATGCGTAGGCTGTGCTCGTCGACCCGTAGCCCGTTGTGCTCTCGCTATTGCCGCAGTGCACCGCGCGCTCGCCATTGCCGCAGCTCGCGAGCACCATCGGCCACGCTGCTCATGGCATTGCCGGAGGTGGCTTGCCGTGTTGTCCTATGTTTGCCCGTTGGTGTCCTGGATGCGGCCCAAGGCCGAGGTGCCGCCGCCTTCAATCGTCGTAGAGGGAAGAAGGGGAACGGGGACGGGAGAAACAGAGAGCGACAACAGCATGGCCTCAGTCTAGGGTGTGGTTGGTCTGTGGATAGGATATGGTAATCCATGAATTTCGGGATATGGATATCCATGTTGTCTGTTTGATTGGATGGATGAGACGAGCCATTTTTCTGTATGGTTGGATGGATGAGATTGCATGGGATGAGAATACTTGACTAATTATATCTATTATTTAAAAATAATAAGAACTAATTACACCCTAATAAATATGCACTAACACTAATCTTGTCATTATAATCACTAATTAAAAATAAAATATGTTAATTAGCACCATACTACTCTAATTGTTACACAAAACATGCGCTAATCAACACGTGGATATCCTCATCCGCCAAATTTTTGAGGTCCAGCATATCCAGCATCTACCCAGAATATTCTTTGCTGTAAATATCTAGGTTCAGCTTGTCCATCTAATCAAACACCCTGTATCCATGGATATCCATGGAATCAAACACACCTCTAACGGAGGAGGCAGTGACTTAACGCTAGTAGACATTTGAAAGTGCATCTAGCCCTTTAGTGAGTTTTGAATGATTAAATGACAACACGATTAAAGATCTAACATATTCACTAAGATTTGGACAGGAAATTAGTTATCTCACAAATACTTGATTAAATTGTATAAAGCTAAAATGATGTGTTGTTGTATAAACAATCTAGTTCAAACACAAGACAACAATGCAAATAAAATTCATGGAAAGGCTTATTAATTATGGGATTTCCATGCACTATGTGAAAGCAAAAACGGTAAGAATTAATTAATAAGACATGATGGATTGCATATGAAATGGTCTCATATTTAAAGCTTGCTAAATTAAAATGAAAAAGATAACAATACAAATGAATGGATGATTCAACACAAGATGTGACTTGATGGCTTGAGATGGTGAAGATACCAAGGAAATGCTTCGAGATACTAAGCAAGGGTGAAGGACAAGCGACGGCTTAGCGGCCGAAGAACCTAGCTAGGGTGAAGAGGGAAGTACTTGCATTTAGTTGAGGTACTAATCAAGCTATGATGGTCAGATTGACGTGGAGGATTAAAT